CGAGCGACGAGGCGTGGGCGGGGCAGCGAGGCTGGAGCTGCGGGCGGGCCGGCGAGGCGCGAGCGGCGGGGTGTGGGCGGGGCGGGAGCTACGGGCGGGCCGGAAGCACTCGCCCGCTATGTGCTCGACGAAATGTCGCGGTGGACAAGCCACACATGCGTCTGGCTGCCGTTGGGCGCGTCGGGCGACCCAAACGAAAAAGCGGACAAAAGTGTCCGTCGGGCCGACCCAAACAGACAAAATGTGGCCCGTTGGAGCTGCCCTTAGTAAAAAGAATCATGTGCACAGAGAAACGCAGAGAGGACCAACCACAACTCACCAGCCGCAGAAGAGGCAGAGGCAGCTGCTGCAGGGTATTGAGCACCACCAAGAGCAGGAAGATTGGGAGTGCTGGAGTTGCCACCATGGATGATGGGTCGGTTCTTGGCTTCTGCTTCTATTGAGGATCAGATTCAATCCACGAGGGCTCGAGTCCAAGCACATAATAATGAATTGATTTTCCAAGGGCGGTGCTATGCATCGGCCGGCGGATCTTTTTACGCTTCGCGAGCCGTCCGATTGCACGAGGCGCCTTCCTTTTTTTCTTCTGCAACAAGACCCTTTATGCGAAACCTCTTCTTCTCTAACTTTCTGCAACAAGAGACATGTTACAAAATTCTTTTCTTCTCTAATTTTGTGCGACAAGACCTCTGTTGTAAAATATTCTCTTCTTTAGTTATTGCAACAAGACCCCTGTTGCAAAACTTTTTCTTATCTATTTTCCTGCAACAAGACCCTTGATGCAAAACTTCTTTGCTATTTTACATGACTCTTGTTGCAAAACATCCATTGCAATAGGACCAAACATCTCTAAGTTCTTCTATGTATTCCTGCAACAAGACTGTTGTTGCGAAAAACTTGCAAGAACACCGACGACTACAACGGAGAGAGCACCCCGTGGTCTCTGCATCACCTCATTTGTTGCGGTGAGCCTTTTCGAAACATGTGCTTAGTTGCAAGAATTGCAGTACAGAGTGCTTTGCATGGTCAGATGAAATTCAACACATGGATATGAGAGATTAAAATATGTGACCATTTCGTTACAGATAGGGATGAAGGAGAGAAGCAGTGCGCTGGCCCATCAAGACGTGTGTCAATAGTAGAACGTGGTGGATGTGAGAGGCACTAGTAGAAAAAGGGCCTAATGTGAAGCACATTCCTGGTTTGTAACTGGACCGACACTAATGGGGGCACTAATGTGACCATTAGTGTCGGTTCCAACGGCTAGGTGGGCGACGCTCATTAGTACCGGTTCGTGGCTAACCTATAGTATCGGTACATGCCACGAACTGGTACTAAAGAGGTGGTGGCAGGCTGGTATCAGGCTGCAGCCCCACCATCACCTCTAGTATCAGTTCATGCCACGAACTGGGACTAGAAGTTCACCGTTAGTCTTGGTTCGTCTAACAAACCGGTACTAAAGGTCTTCGTACATAAACCCCTTCGTCCAGCCCGAGCGTCCTGTTCTTCCCCTTTCCCCTCCTCTGTTTTCTTCCTCTTTCTCTCGAGCTCACACTTCATTTTTGCCAAATTTGTGAAGATTTGAAGGCACCCCATCCATCCAAGTGATCACAAAGGTTAGCAACTTTGTCCTTTCATCTCTCATTGCTAGATTAGCTCTTGCAATGCTCTATAAGTATAGTGATTTGTGGGTTTTATTTGGGAGGAATTATATGTGGTAGTATTTGATTTGTATGCAATTTGAGGTTAAAATAACTCTTAGTTTGCATATGTAGGTGTGGTTTACTTAGTGCCTTCCCGTCTCCATTCTAACCACTGTCGATCGCCCGCACCATTCCGTCGCCGGCTCCATGTTGCGGTGAGCCTCTTGTTCTTATCTTTTTAATATAAGAAAAAAAAATCATGTTTGTGTGATTTAGATATATAGTTACTTGTATAATTATCTTACCCGTACGTTTGTTTGTTATACATAGTGCCATGATTTTGATATCCGTCCCCGTCGGCCCTCGTCTGGGTTATGATTCAGATGTGGTATATTCTCTTTTATAACTATTTGTTGCATTTCATGTTTATGACAAATTATGCCCATCAAGTTGACATAGATATTTTTATCTAGGAGGTATGTGAACCGGAAGTTCCAACCGACCCTATTGTCGAGAGGTTAAATTTAGTTGAAAAATAAAATGAGTATCTGAAAGAAAAATTGAAAATAATTGAGGGGGAGAAGATGGAATTGGAGTTTCATGTTGCCGATGTCATCGATGATCACAAGATCAAGATGGAGAAAATGCGCTTGAAGATTAGAAAGATTAGAAAATATGTCATCGATAGTGAGGCTTGGTATCATTATGCTGTTGGATCAATTGTTACCTTAGTTGCGATCTTGATCGCATTTGTTGTCGCATTTAAATGCTTTAGCTAGAGAGTTATTTGTATGTTGTTTTATGAGAATAAGTGTTTTATAAACTTTATGTATGAACTTGCATTAATTTGGTCTTTTCGGTGCTGTGTAAATGAAGATGAGCCGACAATGGATGTACGATGACCGATGCTCTCCCCAGCTCATTAATGGCATGCATACTTTTCTGCTTGCGTCTGAGGCAAAAAATCGTGCGGATGGTTTTATGCCTTGTCCATGTGCTGGCTGTAAGAATGATCTAAATTACTCTAAGTCAAGAACCATTCACGTCCACTTGTTTGAGTCCGATTTCATGCCCCACTATAATGTTTGGACCAAGCACGGAGAAAGAGGGGTTATGATGGAAGACAATGAAGAAGAAGAGGACGAGGACAGCTATCCTGGCCATGGGTTCGCTGAATCTGATGGTACAACAATGGGGGAAGAAGCTGAGCCAGCAATGCGGGAAGAAGCTGAAGAAGAGGCATCAGATGAGCCCGCTGATGATCTAGGTCGTGCCATTGCCGATGCAAAGAGAAACCGCGCAAGTGAAAAGGAGAAGAAGAAGTTACAGCGCATGTTAGAGGATCACAAGAAATTGTTGTACCTGAATTGCAAAGTTGACAAGAAAAAGCTGGGCACCACACTGAAATTCCTACAATGGAAGGCAGGGAATGGTGTATCTGACAAGGGATTTGGAAAGTTGCTAATAATGTTAAAGAAGATGCTTCCAAAGGACAATGAATTGCCCGAGAGTACGTACGAAGCAAAGAAGGCTGTCTGCCCTCTAGGATTAGAGGTGCA